AGGAGACGGTGTCTCCGGAATCGAGCTGCTTGTCCTTCACGAACCGGCTCCACCCCTTGGTCATCACGTAGCTCTGGCTGCTGTTCCAGTACGAGTAGCGGAACTCCCAGTGCTTGCCGTTGGGGTCCTCGAAGCAGAGGTGGATGCCCTTGTCCGCCGACGAGGGGTCGAGGGGGAAGTACTTCTCTGCGTAGTGCTTGGGGATCACAAGGCGGTTCAGCTTACCGACATCGCTCGGTGTGACTACCTTGTGGAACATGTGCTCGCGCTCCACGGGAGGAGCGGAGCAGTCGGCAGCATCAGCATGACCAAGCCGAAGGGAGGAGTAGGATGAAAGCGAGGTAGAAGCAGCGAAGGGGATCGGCCTAAATACCTCCATATTCATGCCACCTTTTTTCTTCAAAGGATCCAAGAATGACACTGCTGTCCTGCTTCTTTCTTACATGAGAAAGATGATTCCGGAAAGAGATCAATCAGGAGAGGATGAAGGAAGAAGAAGACGAAGAAGAAGAAGGATCGGAGATCACCATGTCTGTACTCCCTTATGGAAGGATGAATATGTCAGAGAGAGAGAGAGAGAGAGCGAAGGTAGGGTTACTACTGTTTGATTCTTTGCTTTACCAACCTGATCCTGCATGCCCCACAAGGTTCCCTGAACAAGGTAGGGATGCTTACCTTCAACCTAATCGGAAAAGGAGAATGGGAAGACAAAGGATGGAGGTAGCTGAGAGAGAGAGAGAGAGAGGAAGAAGGAAGACAACAACAGGAGACCCTAGGAATAATATGACACTACTAACCCTGCAGAAACCTTGTGCATTTGTTTACTCCATGACTGCAATTGCAGCTCCCTAATGTCAACTAATTAAGATAAAAGTATCATTGCTACATTGGTACTTGCATGGATAACCATCACAACATGTGGTGCACGCACACAAACACACACTGCACTGTCTTCTTGTTTAGCTGTGGCTTCAACATGGGTTTGGTGCTGTGGCAGAGCCAGTGGAGGGGAGAAAGACAACACGGATCAATAGATCTGACATGGTAGGAACAACATCTTGTTTCCCGAACCTGTGATGTGATCCAGACAATTGACAGAGATTCCAAGAACATTATATTTCATTGTCATCAGAATCTGCAAGTTTATCCACAGTTGAAACTCTTCCTGATGCCATTACCATTTCTTGATCTCAAACGGATCGACATCTCGGTCTTGAAATGTTCTTTATGTTGGTTGAATCACAATTATTTTCCTCCGTGACTTGCCCAAAAATATATCATATTGTTGGATGCCAGAGATCATAAAAGACTTGAATGCAGCAAATCCAACACATCTCGAGCTGTAAGCATGGCATTAAGAATCTGAAGAACACTGGTTAATCTTTAGCTTTCAGTCTGTCAAAAGACCACGATGCATGCCCATTAGCCCTCATGCATTCGTTGCTAACTGTGCCTACAACTCAACCTTCGGAAGAGATGTTGTCTCAAATCCAAGAAAAGAAGCCTTGCTGAGGAGAAAACAAGTAAGCATTATGAAAGGCATTTAAACTGCAATGTCATGTTTAATGGAACATGTAAACTGCCATAAGATGAACCGAGAAGAATCAGACCGTATGATACGGGAAAGAAATAGAGAAGAAGTCTCAGTCATGTTCAAGCACACAACATGGGGTGTGGCAGCAGCCAAGAAGGAACAGCACAAAGTTCTCTTCTAGTTTAATGGGATGATGATGTCAGCAGCTTGAAGAAGCCTGACGTTGGTTTATGGATCCTAACAAAGATTAGGATGACAATAATTAAGGTTTTGCTAGTTGACTTTGAGATCAGGAAAAGTCACTCCACCACCTCCCAATCCCACTTGCAGCGCACACCCCCAAAAACCAGCTACAGCTTCTTCTTCTTCTTCTTCTTCATCTCCTCCTGCTGCATTAGGTTGGATCAACACAGCCATCTGTTCATGAGCTTGTCTTAGACTTGCAGGTGTGGTTATTTATTGGGGTAGTCTCCATGTCATGCAGGTATTTGTACTTGTAGGTGTGTCGACTTCATGTCTTGGCAGAAGTCATGTAGTACATTTTATTGTTGTGTGCAGTAGGCACTGGGTAGGGTTAGAGAGTGCCTATTTATTATGAACACATGTGAGCCAAAGGGAATCAATCCTTATGAATCACCACATGCAAACATTAGGAAGTCTCTTATGCAACTCTGCTGGACATTGGTTGGTAGAACCAATGATTTAGCATTTCAAACACAGGAGAAAGAAGGAGACTGTGCACTCTTTAGAATATTCTAATTAGATTGTTAAGAGAGAGAGAGAGAGAGAGAGAGAGATTCATCTCAGCAATCTAATACAATTTATGCCCAACACATTGGAGCATAGATTAGAATATGATTTAATAGGTCATTCCTTATATAAAAAATTAGTGAGGCTTCCTGAACCAATCCTTTTTATCCTAAAAACATCTCTAAATGCATGAAACAACACCTTCATTTGATAGTAAAAACTTCATTTACTAGCAGCTTCTGTTTAGAGAGAGAATTTTTGGTAGATGAGATTATTTTCCTAGTATGACCACAAAATTCTCTCTTAAAGTTTCTACACTTTTTGTGAACTTAGATTCAGTCAAAAAGGGAATGAGTATTTGGTGCTTTTCAATCTTGCAAATGGGTGAGTGGCTGTGTTCATATCGTCTCACACAGATTAGCTAGAAATAATCAGATACATCCTTTTAAATGTCTTTCTTCTGTGCTTGTAAATTTATATGTCATTTTTTTTTTGTACTTTAATCACTTCCTCCAGCTGCTCTATTTAATATCATATGTTGAATTGGGATGAGATCAAGACATCACCTTCCAAAGGGAATCTTTGGCATGGCTTGATGATATAAGAGTACCTGATATTGCCAATAAGTACATCATACAAGAAAATTACAAGACATGAAGTCAGAATCAATTTAGAGAGAGAGAGAGAGAGAGAGAACTAAATACTAATTTGACATGGATTTCTACTTGGAAGCATTACACGATGTAGTCTCAATTAATCTCGTTGAGACATCAAAAGGACAGTCCCAAAAAATGCAGAGAAGTGATAAGGACTCATAATTGCCTTGTATACCTCTTACACTGCTCACAAGGGAATCCACAGAACCTCTCATGTGATAACAGTGGCAGACCAAAAAAATCTGGTTTCAGCCTACTAATTGATCTTTTTTACTTAACACGATCTCTTTTTTTTTGTCAAAACAAAAAATTAGCTACAATATCGAGGCCAGCCTGCTTGTGAAGCACAAGAGGATTTGGTGTCAACTAATTAGCTACAACAATATGGATCCAGGTTTTATAATTATGCTTGTAAGAGAAGATTAGAAAGAACAAATCAGTTTAGTAGCATAGAGAATTATCACTTGTGTGGCTTTTATTGTGTGTGTGTGCCCTTAGAGCATGTTGTTGTATTGAAGGGTGAGCTGGGGACCCTCCTAGGTGTGTGAAACTGTGTGCATGGGTGACCTACTTTTTCTAGATACCATGGCAGCCTCCACATGCTGTCAAAAGTATCACAATCAATGTTGCCTAATTACAGCTTGTTGATCCTTGGAGATCATGCATTAAATGACTGGGTGGGACATGGACCACAGAGACACCAGTTAGATGATTGATTCCACATACAAAATGCAATCAGTGTCACAAAGAGTTTCCTTCCATTGTTTTCTATTTCTTTTTTTCTTTTAAATAATATCCTCTTTTCATTTGTGAAACTGTCTTCAATTATTAACATGTCCACATACCTTCTCACTCATGTATCTTTTTCAAAAGGCGCATTATGGTTAGTAAATGTGAAGTGCAAACCCTAGCCAAGTATCACAGGGAGAGACAGGAAAATTCTGATAGGAAACCTAGGAACCAAGTTAGGTCATGACCTTTAAATAGTTTGGCTGGTGGGCAAAGCAACCTTGCCTACCCTTCCTCTCTCTTCTCTCCATCACCAGTTTGTTTCAGAGGGGAGGAACTTGTCTTACTACCCAAAATGTTGTGTTGTGTCTATCATACTCCTGGGAAGTAGACTAGGGACCATACTGTGCAATCATCCTCCTCTTCTTCAGACACCATAACTTTCCTCACCATTACTGTGGCACTATCCATTCTCATGTATACAATTGCTTATCTTTTTCCATATTCCATTTTGCATGTAGCATCCATTAATACACACCTACAATCGTGTCACCACAGCCTGCATGCGAGGCACACACAAAAGCCAAGGCTTGTTCTGCTTGCAAGCAAATAGGTAATATATGAGTGACATCAGTCTCGAGGAGAAAACAAAACAAAGTGCGAGCTCATAGTAATCTACTGCTGTTACCATTCTATTATTTATTAAGTCATATCAATCTTAAAGAGATTGAGTGGGGAAGAAGAATGTGCCATACTTTTCTTGTTCATAGCTTCCGATGAAATAATCACTGCTGCGAGTTAGTTGGTGTTACCAGCTGTTACTGCAAAAGTGATTCATTGATGGCTTTTGAATGTTGTCTGAGTAGTACCATTGGCTCGGTACAATTTAATACCGACACTGAAAGAAATGAAAGGCTGGTATCAGATGCCAAGAAATAATTAGTGCTATTCTTTTCTCCACCATCATGGAAGGACTTCCCTGTCTTCAAACAACAAATAATTTACAAAAGGAAGTTGCAGAAGAATTCTTGTGGATTCACACTCAATAGTTATCAATGTCATCACCCTCCCGTGCAAATCTGGACAAGATCATCGTTCATTCAGTAAAAATAAACAGTGGAGAAGACATGAGCATTGCGGCTGAAATCCTACTTTAAGGCTTCCAACATCATCATATCCTGTTATTAATTGGACCAGTTCATGTGTTTTTTCGGTCTTGAAAGTAACTAGAAAGGATAATCTTACATACAACATAATTGTGGCAGGAAGAGAACACAGGAATACTCCAAAATTTTCACAAAAGATGACAACTTATATAAAGTTCAACAAACTGATAAAAGTTATAGCCAGTAATTCGTAAAAGTAAACTTTGTACATTACAATAAAGTTGCAGCATTTTCATATAAGTGGCATATACAACCAAGAAATGGTTATCAATTTGGCCGCTGCTACAAGCATGGCTGTGAAAAATTTTCATCTGATAATGCTGTCCAAAACCAGCATTATTATTATTATTATTATTATTATTATTATTAATACAACTCCAAGCATTGGCTCTGCGTCAGACCCATCAAGTGAATAGTACATTTATCAGTCAGATAAGAGTACGTATATAGAACCAGGAAATAATTATCCATTTGCTGTTGCTAAGAGCATGACCAGGAAAAACTTGTCTGATGATGTAGTTGAAAAGCCTCTACTGGGTACTTCAGGAAAGACTTGTGTTTATACCTTTAAGTCAATCTAGCTTGACATTGGAATAAAGAAGGGTGTCCCTTGTCAGCGGCATGTTGAGTAATAAGTAGACCTGAGAAACCAATGCCAGAGTATCAGCACACAAAATTGAATCTAAAACAGTAGGACCTTTTGCAATCAATAGGAATCCTCAGCACTGGATGTCAAATTGGTGATAGGGGTTCAAATTTTTATTTTAAAATATTGCCATAAATGATGATCCATCTTCGCACATCGTCATCGCATGTAACATGAAGTACACCCAAACAAAAAAAATGTGAGGAAAAAGAAAAAGAATATATTATCAACTGAGAGTCTATGACTATTTGTTGCACTCCTATTTCCTGCTTAAAAGATATAATTACAAGTAAAAAAGTAACTCTAGTTCTTCAGCAAATAAATTTGTTCTTGTCAAGACTATGCAGCAACCACACAATGCAGTGAGAACTACAAATGCTTTTAAGTTCTTTTTCTTTGAACTTGTTCAAATATAATTAAACAAAATATAACTTTTTTTTCTCACCCCAATGAGAGTTGATAGAAGAAGGATAACTCCCGTTATCCAAGCCAAACTCCGTCTGACGAGCAGCACCTCTGATTCAGTCGTACTAGAGCTTTCTTCTTCCAACAATCTGGAAAATCTTGCTGTAGAAGTTACATCCAACAACATTCCCGACTCTGGTGAAGACTCATTGTTTAATATGACAACTCCAACAAGCTTCCCTAAAAGACAAAAGAAAATAATATAAAGAACTCTCACAAAAGTTGCCTAAGAATTAAGTGAAATAATTCAACCCCAAAAAAAAAGTTTAGTCACTGACAATGTTTCTAAAGGTGGGCTACCTGAAACATTTAACTAGGCCATAAAACCTATGTCTGACTGACTTCGGCAAATATGATGGAAGTCTATCATCTTTCATTGAAATACAGCATATATGTAAAAGTTATTTCATATTAATTGCAGCATATGTTCAGTCTTAGCATTAAGGCAGACATGAAATTTGCCACTAATGGACAACCAGGCCACCATGACAACAGCGGTCATAAATTTGTTGGAGCTTGTTGCTTGGCCAATTACAATATTACCTAGCAACGAACTTCCAAAATCATTCTAAACGGTTATGCAAAACCAATGATCTGAAGTAAGAACCTTCACTGATCGTCAAAAATCAGACAAAAGTTATCATATGAGAAAAGGAAAAATTTACCATATCTTGAGAATTTTGCATGCTTACTCTTTATACTTATGAGCCTTGCGAACATCAACAGTTACACAGAAACATAACAAGGATATAATCAACAACTTAAGCTTTTTATATTAAAGATTAAACCATATCTGGCAAAATAATCAGATATAAGTAACTAAAGAAGAATTAGAAGTCACTGCTTATTCATTTTCATAAACACTTCCTAAGTTTCAAAATCAACTTATGTAGTCCCATTAAATGAGAAGTGGACAATATATCTGCAGTCTCACTCTCTCAAAGAAACATAACCAGGTTCGTAAAGCATCTTTTAGTTTCATTCATGAACAGCCGCCTTCCAGATAGATGCAAACCATAAGTTCAATACTATTTCTAAGTTGACAACATTGACAAGAAAATATACACAAGCCTAAACCTATAACCATCACTAACCTTTGTAAGACACTTGTAACATATCAGACAACTTTAGAAGTGTTGTCTGAAGCAGTTCCACCCCCTGTCGAGCAGTGTCCCCTGAACCATATTCGGCTCTAAGAGCCTGTATTACATTCATCAAGTCACAAAATACACATGTAAATAAACATAAAAATCAATTATAGAAATCACAAACTTCAACAGAATTCCTATAGTTTCTGGCCAATCCTGCCATCAAGCAATTATTTATTAACTGGAAAATACAAGAGATTAGAAATGCCACTGGATGAAGAAACATGCATGACAACCATGATAGTCGAACATTCTTAGCAGCAACAAAATAAGTAACAACAAGCTATAACTTAGTAGCCGCAACATATTTTGTTTAAGCTGTGGTTTGACCATCTCTTGAAACATAATGGAACCCATATGTTTCAGATAAGCCAATAAAGAACAGCCAAAACAATTTTTAGCAAACTTTTATAAGATGCTTCAGTAAACAAGCATCAGGATACAATTCTATTATAAAATTCTTAAACAATATCCTTCAAAGGCAAGGTTTAGCAAGCTGACTACAAAAGTGAAACCAAACTAGTTAACTTACCTGACTTTGCTAAGGTCATTAGAATATTTTGTCTGGAAAAATGCATCAAATGCTAGTATTCATAAGGAAATGTTCAAGCTATCCGACTCTAACACTATAACCATAGTTTCAGAGGCACCAAGGCATTTATTTGTTTCCAAGAATTGAAATCTTGTAACCTCATTGTAAAAAATTGAGAATTTCTTTTGTTGAACAAAGAAGAGCCAAAGCTAACAATAGTAAACTGTAAATTGTAGTAAGTTCAGCCCAGTATTCGACAAGTCTTCTACGTAAAAAGGGAGAGAAACAGTAGAAATTGGTAGACTTGCTAATGTCATCAGAATGTTTTGACTGGAAAAAATTCATCAAAAGCCTATATTTGTAAGACAACTTTTAAGCTCAAGTTATAACTCTATGACCATAGTTCAGAGGCACCAAGGCATTTATTTGTGTCCAAGAATTTGGAATCTTGTAACCTGAGGCCAACTACAGAGAATATCATCAGCCAGAAAAATGCTTCGATAACAACGAGGGTTGTATTTGCATTGTATATTTGCAATAATGAGTTTCATTTGTGAATAATGCATCAAATAGCAATAATAACAGGAACAATGAAAGTAGACATAAACAAAGTGTTATTCAGGATGAAGCCAAACATATGATCACATCGTATTAGTGACAATAAAAGATCACCTCAATGCCTGTGAAACGGCCTGTCATAATTTCTGAAGGCATAAAGCTGCTTTCCGATAAATCTTTGTGAATCTCCACTGCCATTTTAACATTTCTAACCAAAGAAACAAGAATAGATGCAAATTGAAGGTCTGCTTTCTGCAAAGCATGTGCAAGTAGCTGTCAACATTCTACAAATTGTTTATGTCAAAGAAAATGTGCCAATATGAATGTCAATGACATTAAGTAAATAAACTACCACTAGTTAAATTTCTTACCACATTAAATCATTCTCAGACTATGAACAAAGATATTCAGTTATAGGGGTAAAAAATTCATAAGGAGTTGACAAGAAAGAACTACTCAAGTGAGGTGATTCATAAATACAAATAATCAAGTGCTATGATCATTTCTGAATTTTCAAATTAATAATATTTACATATACTAGTGTGGTTAAAGGTACTAGACACTAAAAGGCACCAAGCTGTCAAACTGCTTGAGGTGATAGGCACCCACCCGAGCAAAGCAAGACACTTGAAAATATTAAAATATATATAATTAAGGAGAAGAGGGAGGAGGCATGGGATAGGAGGAGGAGGAAAGAGAAGGGAGTTGTCTAGGAATGGGGAGGCTCAGCGGCTATTTGTTGGGAGGGGAGATATCAGGGAACATAATTAGTTAACAGAGGAGGAGAGGGAGGGGGCGACGATGGAGGAGGAGAAAGAGGGAGGGGACACTTAGAGGGAAGGAGAGGGGTAGATTGCGTTCAACGGCATATGGTGCGTAGAGCAGAGGAAGGTCGTGGATGACTACATATGGCCAAGGAAGAGAGTAGCCAACAATGTACGACAAAGGAATGAAGCAAATGGCAGAGGAACGAATGGTGATGATGCAGGGTTTCTCTTTCGCTCGCAAAATGAGATCTAGGTGGAGGTGGGGGGAGTAGGGGTGGGGGTGGTAAGTGGGAGACTTTAGTTGGTTCGACTAAACCAACTAATTCAAATTGACTGAACCTAGACTTTGATTCACCCAGCGCTTGGGCTCAGGTGTGCGCCCAAGTCGCACATGTTTAAAACGTCGCCCGAACCATCTTTGAGGCGCTCAATTTGGCCAATAACAATGGTAGGTAACTTTAAAAAGAAAAAACTTTTGAAAACAATATATTCTATTAGTGTTTCTACTTTTTGTTAAACTGTCTCTATTGAACTAGCCTAAAAAGAAGACTTCAAATGACAATATCCTTATAACCATCCCGACGAAGATAGTAACTATTCCAAAATAAATATGCGTTAATTCACTATTTAATTGTTCTTGCTTTCGGTTGCATAAAATGTTTCATTCAGATAAAAATTCAAATAGCATCTGAACTCTAAAACCAATAACATGATAAGAATTAACTGATACTTCTGTAACTACAAACACAGTCATTAGAATGCCACTTGAGCACAATCTTTCCCTTGGTCATGATAGGCATGCAAAATGTAATCCAACCTCTTGCTGTCAAAATATCACATAAAAACCACTAGAAATATATCCATATATACATGGAGAAATCGGTGCAACGTGAGTGCTAGCATACAGATCTGAAATATATGTTATTCAGAAAACAGTACAGATGAATCCAACAACTGAACTGTGAACTCTATAAGAAACTCAATTAATTTACAGACAATCCTACTTAGGAGGAACAATGGCTTAAGGATTTTGGAGAAGAAAAAGGAAATACATAACTAAAAGGAGTTTTAAGGATGAATTAACACTAGACTGCAAGTATGTCATGAATCAAAGACCAACATATACAAGGTGCTAAGAAAGTTGAACCTTTGCAAGATGCAAACTCAAAGTGCTACCACTCGCTAAAGGAACAGTCAACTTCCCATCTAGTGACTCTATGGTGCCAACATATGATCCCCCCATCCATTTTGCCTGCAATGTATTGATAGCATTTTACATTATGCTCTTTCCAGGAAACTAACATATTTCCAACAACTTGTAATATCCAACAACTAATTAACTAGAAAATAAAAATCTTACAAGATCACTGAGTTCCTTATCAAGGCAAGCGGCATTGCATTCAAGATCCAAAGAATTGTCCAAAGAAACAACAGAAACTTCATCTTCACCTGGAAAAAAAATTGTGATGCTTCATGCAATACAAAGAAAAGCAAAAAAGGGCCATCATAGATATGCATATATTTGGAGGAAAACTACACCAGAAAAAAATCAGACACCTGGAAGTTCTAGTTTGGTATTGCTCGATCCAGAAATCCTACTTCTGAAAACATTAGCAGTTTGGCTACTTAAGTACTCAGATGAGAGAACTGGTTCTGCAAGAAAGTGAAGAGTATAAACACCTCTACAAGTTATATATAGTTCAGAGCTCAAAAGAAACAAATACACTAACCCTCAACTCCACTAACTTCCAGCAAGAAAATAGCATTAGGTCTGTCAAAAGGATTGGGAAATAGAACCTCGTTTAACTGCCAGCAAAACAAGCACCAAGGTTTAGCTTTCACAAAGTAATGTAAGAGTTGCCCTGGGTATTAGACAAAATAGGAATGTCCATTTCCAACAAAACCTATCAATAGAACAGCCTCATATGTAATAAAGCTAAGCAGATCTAAAGGTTAACGACAAATAGTACCTTGTATGAAGAATCAACGGAAAGTGATAAAGATGGTGCAAAACCAAGTAGAACTGATATTGTTGCAGCAATTTCATTCGAAGACATTGAGTTCACCTGTGAGAATGCATGAAGCTCCATGATCATGTCATATAAGGTGTTCAGAGAAAAACAATGAACAAAATACAAACTTCGCATGAACTTAAAAATGTGAGGCAACAAAAAATCATATATTGACAAGATGAAGTTCCATCACATACACTAATGATCACAAACTTCATCAAAACAAAAATCCAGGAATATTCATATACGATAAACAGATGGTAAAAATATAAAATTTACAAGTTTCAACTTATTGATATGTTTCTTATGAATACAACCAATATTTGCAAACACATAACAGAGTTCTTTTTTCAAAATACAAACAAGACTAATATAGAAAGAACTATCTTATAACTAAAAGAAACCAGAGATTCCGTAGAACAATTATACTAAAAGCCTCCATTGGATTCTTTAGTTTGGTTTGGCTTAGAACTTCGTCTGACCCTTTTCCATCCTATTGCTTTCAAGACTTCAAACATGCAAGTTAGCTTAAATTGAACACACTGAGGATCATACGAGCAAATGTACAGGACATCACAACAGTTCAGTCACCAGATATAAAGAACTTATTGGTGTGTTTTACTCAAGTATGAAAATGTGATTAGAGAAGATAAGGATAGTTAACTCTTAAGAGACATGATTGGCATCTTTTATAATATTCCCTATAAATACAGAGAAAGGAAGATGGATTCCCTTCAGCACTCCTCATTAAACAACACCTACATAATCTTCTCATGATAGTGGTAAGCAATTGTTAAATTTTATTCACATTTGCAAACTTGAAGTATGTATGTAGTGAGTTCCTGACAGTGCAACTACACCTAATAACTAAGTCATGAACATGAAGAACCTTATTCCGAAACACTAATATCTTCAGACCACTTCCTCCAATGGCTTCTTGAGTAATACATAAATCCTTATTTTTAGGTACGAATCATGTCGTGGATCCAGGTTAAAAATTCTAGTGTATGAGGTCATAACATTAAGAGGTAGTGAAGAATCGTCAGTGCTTCCAAGAACATTATATATTGAAAAGAATTAAGTAACAATTCCTCAATTGATGTCATCTGAATTCAAATAACCAGCATCCAATTCCTTTACTAAAGACTGCTCTTCTAATAGGTTGTTCAACCGGCTGAGCACCGACTCGAACTTGTTAGACCCAGAAAGCTATGCATAGTAAGACATATCGAATGCGTCAAGACCCCAAACAATAAGATGAGCAACCCATACCACGAGCTGAAAGACCCGAATTTACAGCGATGCACATAAGAAAAGGCAGAGAAAACTACGATTACCTTCCCTGAGCTATCCTGCGCGTGATTCCTGATGTATCTGTGGGGAGAACCATCCAAGAATACGACCGATCCCCTGCTCTCTCCCTGCACGGACAAATTCCAAGTAAATTTCCCGATGCCATCACAAGATCAACAATTCTTCCACAAGAGACAACCGAAACCACAACAAAGCTCGGAAATCGAAGAGAAGGGGCGGGAAACGTGCCCTAGCTTGCAGGTACATGGATGACGCCAAGATCAAGAGACTCAGACTCGCAACAAAGAGAGAATCCATGACTTTAGGGTTTCCAAGATCGGGGAAATGGTGCGATTTCAGGGTTTCCAAGATCGGGGGAATCAAAGAACCAAGAGAGAGAGAGAGAGAGAGAGGTGAATAAAAGGCGCAATAAAATATGGTCAATTTGTCATCTCGAGCATCTTCATGTTCCGACATTAGTTACGAAGTGGGGCGGTTCACTCGTGGATCTCCGCCACGTCCTAAACTGAAGAACAGTCGTGTCTTAAGTAGCGTCATAACTATTCTCGATATATATATAAAATTCTTTGGGAAAAATGAAAAGAGACGTGTGGGAAAAGGTCAAATTAGAGATTTTATTAGAAAATTTATTTGGATCAAATTTAAAATTATTATATAATTAAAATGTCTAAAGTTCGAGTCCATATATGCATCCAAATGTAATGAAACAAAATCATATCAGCATATTTTATGAGATTGAAAGCTTTTTAGATATATTTTCTATATGACGTCTGTAAAGAAAATTGAAAATTTAATGAAACTCATGCTCAATCTATAAGCTAATAAATAAAACATTAGAGATTCAGTTCCAACAACAAGATTAATCTATTTCTTTGGAATTGTTGATTCAAAATGCAATTGCTGTTCCTTTTTATTGTCATCTTCCTCGGAAATCAAAAGATATTATGGTGCGCATCTGTTCATCAGTTCATCTTGTCCCGAAGGTATCATGATGCTTTTGATGTGCATATATGTCTCCAATTATCATCATGATAGAGCATATATCATACTAATTCGACCTTCACGGCAGCCCAAAACATCATAATTGGATGAACACTTCTAAGTGAATCAGAGTTATAGAAAATAGTAACCTGGGTTTTCATTTGTTATCGACTCGGATCGGGTTGGGCTTTCATGTGATCCTTTGGACTATCTATTAATTTCATTCGACCAATTACCTAAATATATAAATTTTAATTAAAAAGTATCTAAATCTGATTTAAATTTAATGGGCGAAGATTAATTATCCTTGCAACTCGATCCTCCTTTTAACAAGTTCCGAAGAGAACTTTTATACCCTCACTGTCTCCTCTCTTAAACTTCATCAACACTTAGAGTTCATAGCAGTCCTCACAAGATTACAACAATGTTTTTCTTTCTTTTTTATCTCAGTTATTATGTGTACTGAGAAGGGATAATATGGGTATTTATAAGCCCCAAATAGATTCAAACTTGGAGCCTAAAAATATCTCTTCCCTAGTTTTCAAGATACTGGTAGTATCATCGCCTGCAGCACTGATACTAGGCGGAACCACTACTTAGTCTGGCGATACCATCGCCTAACACAATTTGAAAGACTATCTGTGTGGTACCACCACCCAGACTAGTGGTACCATTGCTTGACATTGCTTTGGATCATTGAATGAGCCTTTCTCTTGACCCAAAACAGCCATAATTCGGGTCTAGTTGATCCATAATTGAGTTGACCTAATTACATTTTAAACCAACTCAATTAGAACTAAAACTACTTTGATCTAAACAGTTATTATAAAGTATTAATCACATATTGTCCGACATGTCATTGGTTCATCGGCGCTTAATCCAATTCTTCGGCGTATCATCCTTTTTTGTGACCTTTTGCCCCATCAGTGTGTTAACCTCTATAACTTCGATCTCCTTAGCGCAATGTCCGCTCTTTTAGGTTCGATGTCCGAACTCATGGCATGAAGTTTTCTACCGATACGTCAACCGATTGTCCGGCTCAACATCCAATCTTCTGATATATTCCACACCGACCCAACATTGATTCTTCTTGCTTTAATTGTCTTTTCTAATCGAAGCTAGTCCTACGTCACTAAAAATATAGATTAGATCACAAATATATCAATTGATTTCATTATCAAAATTTAAAATTCAACATATGATAGCCAAAAATTCATAATTGAAGACTTGAATCTTTTGGGCTTTCTATTAATTTCATTGGAACTAGACAAATTATCTAAATATATAAAAAAATTGATTAAAATTATCTAAATATGATTTAAATTTACTCTTGCGGATCCAAATACTTAAAAAATTATTTTAGTGATAAGTATTTTCTATATAAGTGTGTCTTGATGAAGAAGAAAATAATTACCTAAGTGTTAGGGTTCGACAAAGATTATGTACAATGACTCTCGACATAATATTAATACATTTTTCGTCACAACACATGTGCTAATAGTGTCTTCTTGTATACTATGGATGTGCGTGTCACTACCAAATCTAATAATTATTTTGTGTAATATAAGATTATGAGTTAGGTTGCCATTAGATTTGTTGTCAATCCATGGTGAACTTTGGACCCACCCAAATTGTGCGGCCTCTTTCATTCCTCACCTACTACACTTTCTGCATTGTAATCAAATCACTGAAAGTAGATAAACCTGTTTTGTTTTACTCCAACTCAAACACACAAGAAAGAGAACAATATAAATTAAAATTTCACATATGCATACTATTTTGTGCACACAAATATGGGTAAAGAAGAAAACGAAGAATTAATGTCCATACAAGACCAGAAATATAAAGAGATAAGTCAACTTAGAGAGGAGACCTCATGTTTTCAAGAAGTCAATGTCTAGAGAGAGAGAGAGAGAGAGAGAGGGAGAGAATAAAAACTCTCTTTTCATGAATTTTCTTAATTTTGCCAAACAAATTTCAGTCCAAGTTTCAAACCACTTAATAATAAATATACAATGTGGTCTCTTTTTTAATATAGCAATTTGCTTTTTGGTATGAATTTCTTCGTCTAAAAACTTATACCTTCACTAATTTTCTTATTTTTTAAAAATTATTATATCTTAATATTTGATCAAGTTTTGAAAACTAAGAGGATAATAGAAATTACAATTCATCAACCAATTGTTGAATCTCGGATTTTGATGATAAAATCAATTGATGAGTTTACGATCTAATCTGCATTTTGAGTGATGTAGGACTAACTTCGATCAGAAAAGAAAAATAGATTAAAGTATGAGGAATCAGATGTTGGACCAGAGTGAAATATGTTAGAAGATTGAACGTTGAGTCGGAGGATCCGTCAACATATTGGTAGAAGACTTCGTGCCATGAGTTCGAGCATCAGGCCAGAAGGATAGGACATTACGCTAAGAAGATCGGATGTTGCGAAGGTCAACATGCCGATTGGGCAATACACCATAAGAGAGGACGAAATGCCGAATAAACCAATGACATACCGGACAACATAGGATTCATGCTTGTAATCATATGTATCTAAATCGAGTTAGTTAGGTACCTAGACATAGTGTCAGGTAGTACCCCGAAAACCTGAGGATTTGAATTTTGACTCTATGTTTTGAAGTTATTTATAGTCTATAAATACCTTAAGATTTTAAGGTATAAAAGTGTGAAAAAATGTTAGGTCTTAAAGAAAGACTATTAGTGGAGGCCGATAGCTTCAACAAAGGAGGAATTTAGAGTGGATGTAGATCACAACGATCGAACCACTATAAATCCGATATGTTTTATTTCTATGTCATTTCTTTCATGCTTTTTATTCTCATTATTTACTAATTTACTTGTTCGCTGTCCTCACTCACTTGTGAACCTTTTCAAGTTTAAATGCTTTTTCGATATATATTTAATTGAAACCAAGTTTTTCAAATCAACGTCGATTTTATCGAAAGTACGAATTCCCCCTCCCCCTCTCTTAGTGCTAACTTGATGCTAACACCAACGTCTATCCACATAAACAGTACAGGAAAGTTCTATCATTTAGGTAGGTGAAGGAGAGCAATGCTGCGGAGAAGCTTTTCCTGGTGTGCCATCCCTTTCCATTGCACTCATCTCTCTCCATCGCTGAGTAGGTGAACCATGCTACAAGTCCACTTCTGCTTTGCTTGAGGGTTTGGAGGTCCAAAGGAGGTGATGGGGGAGTTGGTGAGAGACGTGATGTGTCTCCTCTACTCTACTATGTGTGTCTTCATTAACTATTATAAGTTCACCATCACAAATGTTTAGGTGGAAAGGTTACAAATACCGCAAGAACTCAATCAAACTTATATATACATTTTAGGTTATGAGACCTTATTTTTAGGTGACGATGAATGCCAACCATTAGGCCAAGAAGTCAATTATTTGTTGGAACTAAACATGCAGATGGTGGGAAGGGTTTGGTCCTCTGATGGCACCAACCTGAGCCGAAGCTTTCCAAATGGTGTGACAGATGCTGAGAACTTTGTGACGCTCGCATTCACCATTGTGTGTGCTTTATGTTATTCGCCAACTCAGAGGTGTCAATGGAGAAAGATGGCACCAATCCATGGCTTTAAATATGGTTTGGATGGATATGTATCTGTGATTGAAAAGACCGATCAATTCGATAGATATCAATTGTTTTTTATCGGTCTGATCAAGCCATAATAACTAAATATACTATTTCGTATCGAATATAAATTTTATTGAACTGATGATAAGACCGTATTTGAATCTTTATGGATTGGAATATGACAAAAATGTCACTCGTTTCTAATTAAAAAAAAATCTGATTTCTTATTTACATTTGTCAAAAATTGATTAACAAATATATCAATTACAACAATTTAGATCTAGAATGCCAATTTAGATCTAGAATTTAGGAGATAACATAAAACACACATGCACACACACATAAATCTCGTCAAACGTTGTTACATGATATCATATGGTTGTTATGACATATTATCAACGTTGACGACCATCGCCACATATCAATCATATCGGTGACTATTAATATTGGTCATGTCGATGATTATTATGCTAGATCAGTCATATTAATGTATGTCACAGACTTAACGAGTTTTGAATAAAAGGTTATTCGGAAGGATGAGAAGAACTCAAAAATTAAAGGAAACATAAAAAAAAAATACTAAAAGACCAACACATGATTTAACATGGTTTGATGACTAACTGCATCTTACATTTACGAAAAAAAAAATAAATTCTTCACTACATAAGAAAAAAAATACAATGAATCGCTATTTCTTGGATTGATCTAACCTCATTATTAAAGAATATTCGAAGAGCATCTATCTTCTCTCAACTCTCTCTCTCTCTCTCTCTCATCAAAACCTTAAGACTCAATGTATATTTATACAAATAAATTCTAATTCACCGATGACTACTTTTATAACCTAAATCATAAAAAAACTAAATCTTTTTTTATTAATACGAAGAAAGTGTCAATATGAAACCCAAATCACTAAGAAAAGGCTAGCGTTCAATACTACTAAAGCCAAAATCTCATAGAATTATGTATGTGAAATCTAACTATTTAAAGACCAAAACTCTTTTGTATCATTTATAAAGACCAGAGACTCTTTAATGTGTGCCCCAAATCACTGAAAACGTAATAACGTATTATACAATTTAAAGACCTCAAACTATATTTTTCTCATGTTTAAAGATTATGTTTCTTTTAATAAATCAAGTAAAATTGTCTAGAGAGAAGAGAGAGAGAGAGAGAGAGAGAGATTGTGGAAACATCTAGTAATGGTTAGTGATGTTTGCCACCTTTGCACTCAAAGCCATCCATCATACCCAACCCCACACAAAAAGCTCATTTGGTCGACCACACCCATCATCAAACCCACACAACAAGGCTGGTTTGGTGGTGCGGTGGGTGAGCCGAAGACACATATAAACCCACCACCTCGTTGTCCCACTCCCCACTCCACCTCCCACCACCCTCACCCTCCATCTTCCCCTCCCACCCTCTCTCTCTCTCTCTCTCTCTCT